AACTGGCTGCAGTTAAGTCAAGTAAACAATACAAAGAAAAGCAAAGACAAACCACTTGGAAAACACCCATGATCACACAAGCTGCACATTTTCAGTTCTGCAACTATCTTAGCAAGTAAATTCATTTCTGTCTCCCATTCTACTTCCTTCCAAGCATATCAACGTAGCCAATAGTATCCAGCTGAAAAAGTGGGGTCTTATATATAAAATCTCTAGCAAAAAGGCTGCAGGTTTTTAAGGCTTGTGTGGAAGCAAATTAAAATGAACCACACTGACAAACATATTTTTATTAGCAGTGAAGCACTGGATTTCCTTAACTGAATTTGATCTTATCAAATCCAAGGACAAAATAATTTCTGAATGTACAATATTTATCTTCCTTTGTGCAAGGATCAGTGGTTGCTGATTAGAAAAGGCCATACTGATTAGGTCATGTTGTCTCTTGTTAAGTGGGCATTCATTCATGTTTTGCATAGCATTATGATGTGCTGTGTTTTATCTTTTGCAAGCTGGACATGGGTAAAATGTACATTTCTCTGTCTGGACTCAGCTCATTTTTATTTATTTGCATCCCATATTTATTACTTTTTCAAATAACTCAAGGCAGCAAATATATTCCACATACTTTCCTCCTCCTATTTTCCCCACAACAACCCTGCGAGGTGGACTTGACTGAGCGAGATTGATTGGCCCAAGATCACCCAACTGGCTTTTATATCTAAGGAGGGACTAGAATTGAGGGTCTGTTGGTTTCTAGTCTAGAGTTTTAACCACTAGACCAAACTGACTCTAGTCATAAGTTGCCTAACCACTTTTTAAAAAGTTATTTTATGCACTGATAAAAAAAAGTTTGTGACCATCACAACTGATGCCCAAATGCATATATTAATCTAATCAGCATTGGAGTTGGTTTCACTGCAACATGGTTATTTTTCTGGCATTAGCCAATTTGTGGGACTGAACTCATTATGTGCAGATTCAGATTCTGCTCAGCCATAAAACTTTTAACCTAGGCTACTTTGTGCAGTACGCCAGACAATTTCCTTCCTCATGACATCTAACTCTGATTCACAATGAGGAAGTGAACAATGACTGTCTTCCCCTCCCAGGGCAATGTTGTCTCCTTTGGCTTGCAGTGGTTTTCCAAAATATCCAAGCACAGAATAATTGTTCAGATCCCAAGATAATACAATCCCCCCCCCCATCCTTTTTACTGGAATGTAGTGTTTGCAACTCCAAAATTCAATAAAACATCCCCATAAAATAAAGATGTTTTAGGGGAAGAACTTCTACTATAGCAATGATGACTATGTTTACATTATTTACATTTTAATATCTGGAATTTTAAAAAGCATTATCTATCAGCCCAAAAGTCAATTTTGGCAGTCTTGTTTGCCAGGATCCTAGGTTTCATCAGTTCAAAATCTGCCAACAGGGAAGGCTCTCAAATTAAATGCATATCAGCAACATTGGACTTGATTTCACTGCAACATGGTTTATTTTTCTGATATTAGCCAACTTGTGGGACTGAACTCATTGCATGCAGGTTCAGATCCTGCTCGATCATAAAACTTTTAATCCAAGCTACTTTGATCGAAGTTTATTAGTGCCATTTACAAGATGCCACTTTCACTGTCAAAAGACCAACCTCCCCAACTATCCCTCTCTAGTTCCTATTGTTGGAAGAAACATCCATCTCCTCCCACTTATGACTGCATGACTGTAACTTTGTTGCTTGCATCTTTACTGATATTGTTTCCTGATTGCTTATTTGTACCCTATGACTATCATTAAGTGTTGTACCTTATGACTCGTGACGAATATATCTTGCCTTTTTATGTACACTGAGAGCTAAGTTATGCACCAAAGACCAATTCCTTGTATGTCCAATCACACTGGGCTAGTAAAGATTTCTCTTATCTTTCTCTTCTCTTCTAGACCCCGTTTGCAAAGGAAGGGAGGGGGGAGGTACTCCACCGCAACGCCCTCCTCTGCGCCGAGCTAAAGGCGCTCTGCACAGGCCCAGAGGCCCATCGGTTTCAGGGCTGGCGCCGCCCAGCCACACCATCTCTCCAGACCGCCTCCCGCCCCCACTTCGTGCTAAACCAAGCGCGTCCTCCCAGCGAGCGCGCGAGCGCCCATGTCCCCTCCCCCTTTGATCAGCTCTGCAGTTTATTTGCATAACCGCCCCGATTGGCTGGGCGGAAAGAGGAAGGCGCGGAGGGGGAAGCCCGCAGAAAGAAGGAGGGAGGGAGGGAGGGAGGGAGGGGGAGGGCAGAGAGAGAGAGAAAAAAAAAGAAAAAGAAAAAAAAGGGGGAGGAGACACCTTTGTTTCACAGCCTGGGTTTGTAAACAAGAGGAAGTCTAGACTCCCAGCTGGGGCTCTTCGCGGGGTGCTGCGGGTCTTTCGGCGGGGTGATTCCCCTCCCCAAAAGCCGCACCGAGGCACCGTCCGACGCGAGGGCGATCCAGCCGTTCCTCTCCCGACAGGTGAGATTGGGGGAGGCGGAGGGAAGCGCTTTAGGGAAACCGCGGTGCGCGTCTGTCTGTCTGCCTCTCCCTGGGTGCACAAAAACACGCAGGTGCCGTGGGTGCAAGGATGGCGGGGAGGGGTGTGTGCAGTGGGTGCGGGTTTCCAGCGAGTAACCCACGGACCCCCCTCGAAAGGCGAACGGATCTGAATAGCTGGAGAGGGATGAGGATCCTTTTCAGAGAATCCCAACTATTGTACTCCTCCTGGCCAGGCAAAGTGGACATTTCCTAGGATAACCTCATGCTCCTTTTGTATATTTCAGCAGGGGATTTTATCTACCCCCTTCGCGATGGCCCGTATTCTCCTCTAATCCCACAGGAAATGCTGTAGGGAGGGATCCGTTTTCAAGAGTCACTAATTCGGGATCAGGTGGCATCCTTTATGTATTGAGCAGTCCGGGTTGCGTTTTTTGTCCTGGGGTGGGTATGGGTGGGACGACACAATATCGATTAGTAGCCAAAGAGTCATAACCATGGCACTGTTTATCAAAGCTGGTTTTACCCCCGCCTCCCGCCTGAGCAAATAGATTTATCTCTTTTCTCTATCCATTGGTAAAGAAAACTTATTTTTTTCCAGCATGCACTGCTGCTGTTTCAAAAGTTTTCATAGAAAGAGGGTGGCAGTGATTTGCACCTCCAACTTTTCTTTCCATATCCCTTATTCTTATAAAGTTCATATTTTAGGAAGTTTTTTTTAAAAAAACAGGAAAATGTTTGCATGAGTGGCCCTACAATTTATATGGAAATACAAAAATTGCCCTATTACTCAACAGTTGTGCCTTTCTGAAGTAAAAATTTGCCATTTACCTCTGACACAGAACAAAAACACAAATTTTCAGTTTATGACTATCATCCCACCAGTCCTATCTGTTCCACCCTCTAAACATACCTCCTCTTCTACATGCATATTTCAAGCTTCCTGTTCAGTCGTCATAAAAATAAGTAAATATAAAGTGCACGTGATTGTTATAATAAAAGGAAACCAAGATACCTCAGCTTGTCTCATCTTTTTCTCTATTCCCATTTCTCTCTTATTAAAGGGTCCCCAATACCCTTATTTTTGAGTTTCTATACATTTGATATATCAGATCCACTATATGTCCTTAAGGTACATATCATTTCAATATCATATCATGCCCATGTTTACTTCCTACTCACTATACCAGAGTCAAATTGCTATATATAAACAAATAAGTATATTGCTCTTAATGCCCCCTTATAACATGGCAATAGTCATCTTTTCCTTTATCAAAACAAGAAATAACCTGAATGCTTATTTATAGGGCTCGCATATAAAACAAATCAGCTTAAGAAAATCCATCCTCATACCTGGTATATATTTTCCTCATCATAATAAAATAAAAGCCCTAATTGTCTTCTGAAATAAATGTGCAAAAGATAGTATTTGAATTTTATGCTCCAGTTCATTTGGTGTTCAGACAAAAACATATACGTATTTCCTGTCCACATCCAGTAGAAAAATAATTAATAAATTGCTGGCAAACAAGATACCTCCCTATTAGTTATGGCTAGTATGTTTCTGTTGTCTCTTTAAGACTGTCTTGGATATTGTTTAGAAGAGAATCTCAATTGCAACTGTTACTGGCAAATATACCATTTATTAAGAACAACAATATTTTTGTTACAGTTCCTTGGGAACTTTGATGGCATTTTTATAAGGTGTATGGGCTGAGAGTGAATAATGCAATGACATTTAAAAAAAATATTTTCAAGATTATAAACATTTTTTTTAAAAAAGGAAGTATTTTTTTTTAAAAAACTTTATTTCCTTCCTTTTACTTCTTCCTTTATTTATCTTGCCTAGCTATTTCCCATGTTCATCCCTTGTTATATTTCTCTCTGTTATTACCCTACCAAGAAATATTATGCCATTTATTAAGAAGAACAATATTTTTGTTACATTTTCTTGGAAATTTTGTTGGCATTTTTATAAGGTACATAGATTGAGAGCAAATAATGCAGTGTTATTTTTTTTTAAAAATCAAGAGTATAAACATTTTTTAAAAAAGGAACTGTTTTTTTTAAAAAAAACTTTCTTCTTTGTTTCCTTCCTTTTACTTCTTCCTTTATTTCTCCTGTCTAGCTACTCCCTGTGTTTGTCTTCATCCCTTGTTATATTCTTCTCTGTCATTATCCTACCAATAATTTCTGTGTTCAGTGTAGATCCTTAGAGAAATTAGGGAGAAATTTAAAAAGGGGGGGACGACGACTCCCTATGCCACGGTGACGTAAGGTGGATAGCCATAGCTTGCTTTAAAGCGTGCCTTAGGAAGAAGAGAGAAAAAGGGGGAAATCTTTAAGTTCCCCCCCCCCCAAAAGCCAAAACAGAAATCCAGTTTCCAGGTAAATATATGGAGTCTCGGCCAACATTTTTCCCGGATCAGCATTTCCTTGCCTGCCCAACTGGCTGGTTTGCTTCCCTCTCAAAGAAGCACCTTTCTCCTCCTCCTCTACTATGAGGTTCCAGGCAACCACTCCACCCACCCCATTTGAAAACCAAGCCTCCATCCATCCCTACAAAGATTCTCCTCTTGCCCGCCTCCCATCAAAATACCTCTCCAGCTGATTGGTTTAGCCCACTGTATTTCTAGAAATCCCTCCACTCTGCTCCTCCCTCTTCTCTCATCCTCGGGCTGCTTTGTGTCTATCCCCATTTCTTCTGCAGCCAGCTGTCCGTCTCAAGTTGTGCCTTAAACTCCAGGTATGTCACTGCTTCCTCTGGTTTGGCTTCACTTAAGTGGTCACCATTAGTGCCACACAATTCTTAAAGCTCTTTGTTGTGTTTCTCTGGAGCTCTTCTCTCCTCCCCCATCCCTGGGCATCATGTAACATAATTCCTCTAGATTCCTTCTGCTCTCTTCCTGACTTAGCGCAGATCCCTTTATCATTTCACAACTCTAAATAAATACTGCCTGCTCTTCTGTGACAAGCTGTTGATGTCTATCACCACCAAGTATGCTTTCTAGACTTTGCTGCTTTCTGCCTCGGTCTTCCCTTCCATCTCAACCAAGCAGTTGCCAGTTTGGTCTAGTGGTAAACTGGGCTACAAACCAGGAGACTGTGAGTTCCAGTCGCACCTTAGGCATGAAAACCAGCTGGGTGACTCTGGGCCAGTCCCTGTTTCTTAGCCCAAACTTACTTCATGGGGCTGTTGTTGGAGGAATAGAAGGAGGAAGGTGTGTTTTGGATATGTTTGCTGCCTTGAGTTATTTGTAATAATAATAATAATAATAATAATAATAGAGATGGGATGCAAATGAACAAAAATGACCTGAATCCAGATATACCTTAAGGTCTTGAGCTATTCATAAAAATAATAAAGGTGGGATTAAAAAAATATCTCTCCGAGTAAAGGCCCATGCTGCAAAAGTGTTCATAGGTTTTGAGTATGTGGGTGGTTATAATACTTGACTGTTATATGTCCACAGTCTGGTTAGAATAAATAAAATAAAAAAAGTTAAATGTTTGGTTTAATAAGAAAAGCCAAGGTTTACAGCAAAGACTATTCATGGTTGGTACTAGGAAAACCTAACGTGAATTAATTGGAAGGGAAAGGTAAGATGTTTGAGCGTTAAGTTTTCTCCTTCATCACAGGATGATCAGCTGTGACCTACATCCTAGGGTTAATTACAGGCTGAGTCTCCAAGAAGCTGCCAAGGGAGGGAGGTGGAGGGAGGGAAAGCACGTGGTATTGTTTTTGTTTAGATACCAGACTGGTTACACAGAACCTGGCCAGTTCCCAGAGCTAAGAAACAAAATCTTGGCATTCCGGCTCTAAGTCTGTAAGCTGTCACTTCTGGCAGATTCCCTATAGGTTGGTGATCCCGCCTCTTCCTCTTCTTTAGGGCTTTCATCTGCCTTCCCCCCTCCAGCGCCTCCTCCAGGAGCTGTTTGGTTCTCCACAACTCTCCTGCCACTTTTCTCCAGGTGTGACTCCCACCACAATGGTGAGGCTGTCCAAGCCCAAAACTTTTCAGGCCTATCTGGACAACTGTCACCGTCGCTACAGTTGCGTGCATTGCCGGGCCCACCTGGCTAATCACGACGACCTCATCTCCAAGGTACAAAAAAAGGAGGGAAGTGGGATAATGGCTGCTACACTCCTCTAGAGCAGTGTTTCTCAACCTTGGCCACTTGAAGATGTCTGGACTTCTGGGAGTTGAAGTCCGGACATCTTCAAGTTGCCAAGGTTGAGAAACACTGCTCTAGAGAATATCACAGCGTCCAAGGAAAAGCGGCTGCTGTGCCTTTGCTAGCTCTATTTTTAAAAAGAAAAATATAAAGCACTTCATTTATTACCAAAGGGGAATGTAAATACAGAAAGGCAAGCAAGGACAGCCATGTTTCCTTATATTATATCTCGCTGTAAGATTACTACTGTGAATTTTCTGTCTTCCTTTAAAATTTGTCAGTCCTGCCACAAGTAAGTGCAGCTAGTCCTCAACTTAACCACCATTCGTTTAGTGACCATTTGAAGTTACAACAGCACTCAAAAAGTGACTTACAACTGAACCTCGTGGTTACGATGGTTGCAGCGTCCCAGGTCATTTGACCCCCTCATGTTCAGCCTTCTCAGCTGGCTTCTGACAAGCAAAGTCAATGGGGGAAGCCAGATTTGCTTAACAGCCGCAGTGAGTCACTATTCCCAATTGTGGTCATAAGATGAGGACTACCTGTAAGTAATTTTCAGGGCCAGGATCAAAGAATGTCTTAAACATTTTTACCCTAACATAGCAATGTTAATGTTGTGTTAAATACAGAGGCTTGGGGGAATGGTGGATTATAGATTAATATAGATTAAGCAAGCCAAACTTTGGCAAGCATGATTTATTGGAGAAATCACCACCTCCTAAGCAAACCACAATTTAGATCTGGAAGCTTATCCTCTGGGAATAAAACAGGCAAAGAAGGGAGAGTGGGGCCCTCCAAGCAGCAGCAGACAACAGCAATGTCATGTCTCTTTCCAGAGCCATCTTACTGATGCTCCAGAATTTCTGAGCAGTAAAAGAAAGGACATTATTTGGGAGGAGAAGAAGGAAAGGGATGAGGAGNTGTAGCCCCTCCCACCGGAGCTACAGGAGAAAAGTGACTTATGGCAGTTTTTCACCCTTAAACCATTGCATGATCAAAATTTAGACATTTGGCTCAGTCCTTGACTTATGCTCTCAATTGAGCCCAAAATTTCCATTGCTAAGCAAGACAATTGTTAAGTGAATTTTGCCAGATTTTACAACCTTTATTGCCACCATTATTAAATGAATTACACAGTTGTTGAGTTAGTAACACGGTAAGGTAAATCTGGCTTATCTGTTCGCTTTGCTTGTCAGAAAGTCACAAAAGGTTATCAAATGACTCTGGTCATGAATACATGCTACTTGCCAAGCAGCCAAATGCTGTTCATGTGATCATGAGGATGCTGCAACAGTCATAAGTATGAAAACTGTCACAAGTCACTTTTTTCAGTGCCATAGTAACTTCGAATGGTCACTAAAAGAATGGTTGTATGTCAAGGACTACCTGTATTTGCCATCTATCTCACTTTCCTAAGTGACTCTTGGAGGCTTACAACAGTACTATAAAGACACTGAAAGTATTAAAATTAAGTTGAAATCACAATGATGTGATTTTTAAATATATATTTTATATATTTTTAAAGTTATACATTTATATTGTGTGTGAACAGAGTTGGTTCTGGGTATCATTCATATTAATCCATTTCACAATAACAATATTAATAATCTCTTTCACATTTCTCAATCATAAGTACTCCTTATTATATTGTTCAAAAAATGCCTAACTCTTCATCTTTATCTCTACCTTCATCTATAACTTTCTTGTTCTATCTAAACATTTCTCTATAATATATGAACAAATTTAATTAAGTTTCCATTTATATTGATCCAATTTATGCTAACATTGTTAATAATCTCTAAATGATATGATTTTTTAAATTGTCAAATACTTTCCACATATTTTTTCTAGAGAACAAATATGGAATCTGTGAGTCTCCAAATATTGTTGGACATCAATTCTCATCAGTCTAAGCCGCAGGACCAATAATCAAAAGCAATAGCAGTTGTAGCTGCAAATCTTTTTACACCTAGTTTAGATGGCACCAAGTTAACCTCCATGCACAGCTTTCAGACTCAAAGTACCAGTGCTTCTATTCTTACACCCTACAAATCCTGTGTCCCCATTTGAGGTTTTAGAGGTGAGCCACAATTATGAATGGTAATAAAGTTCACAATTGGCCAGAGATCTCCTCCATATTATTTGTTGATATGTTCCTTGGCTGAGCCCTAACACTAAAAAACAGCTTTGCCAGCTGAGTCCCAATTCAAATTAATTGCCCTGTAAAAATCAAGGTCCCCATAATTATCATTCATTTCACTATATAACATATTCTTTAAGTGACAATAGTCTGAGTCCATAACCATTGCCTTTTCTCTAATCAAAGTGCTTGCCCTAAGAAGCTATACTGTACTATGGTGGTACAAAATTGTAGGAAATTAGTCACCACCCAAAAGGGAAGGGAAATCATAGATATAATTCTAGCAGAAGGATACCACAATTAAACCTATTATCCCTACAATTGTTGCCTAGTAGAAGGAAGGGAGGTTCATGGACCTGGAGAGAAATCATGGAGATATCATTTAAAATCTGGTCTCCAATTTGGTTTAGTCAATATTGTACATCAGGGATATCCAACCTTGGCAACTTTAAGACTTATGGACTTCAACTCCCAGCATTCCCCAGCCAGCATGGCTGGCTATGGAATTCTGGGAATTGAAGTCCATAAGATTAAAAATTGCCAATATTGGGAGCCTCTGCTCTACGTCATCTCGTCCAATCTGACTATGATTTAATCATTTCCCAAACACGCTTTTTCAAAGAAAAACAAAGTCCAGTTGCCTCTTGAAAAAGCACCATGACCTGTATGACTGAGAATCTCCATAGAGATTTAATATTGTGCTATCAAGTTGGCATTGACTCTTAGAAATCACATAGATATGAATAATAGATCACATCATACAATTTGGACAATAAATAGAATCAGATGTCTTAAATACATAGATTTATCAAGTCCTTTTCCACTTAGTTTGAGACTTGGGTCTGTTTCCTGTCATATATTCTCAGAACCAGAATACAGAATAACAAAATTGGAAGGAATTTTGGATGTCTTCTAGTCTAACCCCCTGCTCAAGCAGGAGACACTATACTATTCCAGACAGATGTACAAACCCATTCTGGGTGTGTTTTAGAATGAGAAGTAAAAATCAGGCAAAGGTTTCTCAAGAAGCTGCATAGCTGAGTGGGAATTGGTACCCACGTCTTCCCACTCCTAACCGCTAGGGGACACTCCCTTTCAAATAAATATTTGCTAGAAATGGCTGCAGTTAAGTCAAGTAAACAATACAAAGAAAGGCAAAAGGCAAATCACTTGGAAAACACCCATAATCATACAAGCTGCATATTTTCAGTTCTGCAGCTATCTTAGCAAGTAAATTCATTTCTGT